AGCAGCCGAGTCTATGTCTTCTCTCCCGTTTCCCCGATACCAGGGGCTGACTCCAGGTGACAGTGCATTTCCTGTCCAAGATCTTCATTCATTTCGTTCTTTAGATCCGATTCGTGCAGAAATATTACCTACTCACACCGCTTGTATTTATACTTGGCAGTGTCCCGGCACCGCGAATTCTGACTACTTATTAGCGTCCAGTCCTAAATTAGGCTCTTCAACTTCTTCTGTGTCGTCTGTCTACCTCACTAGCGACTTTCCGAGACGGTGTACTTCAAATGATATGCCGTGTGCCCACAAAACTAGATCTTCAGATTCAGAGTCTTATTCTGCCCGATCCATAGCACCACTTTATAAGCCAAATATCACCTCTGGTGTCACATCTGCTCTCGACAGCCTTCCTGCCACCCTATCCACAGAACCTCCGCCTGTCCAGATTTTGACCTCCGTTTACTCACCGCCTAACTTGAATCCACTGCCCACAGTCCTCACAGACGAGTCAACGGCTTACTTAACCTCATCCAGTGATCTACATGCTCCTTTTTCCTATCCTAACAACTCTGGGTTCACTATGCTTGGTCCTCCCATCCGGTCGGATACGTTAGATCCTTATGACGCCGATTCGGATGACACGGACACACAGCAGTTAAATACACCTGACCAACTATTTTCCGGCGGCCGACCTCACTTCATCCGTACCTCTTCGCGCCGAAGGAATAGCTCGCTTTTAGCTAGGTCTCGGTGGGGTAGACATTCAGCCCGGTGTACTTCTTTCAGCTCTGTGCTACGGAACCCTACTCACGATAAAGATTCTTCTCTATCTCCGTCCTCTTCCTCTTCAACATCTCTCCTTTCATATCTTTCATTTTCTGGCTCTGAATCCAACTTAGGGTCGAATTCCCAAGACCCACTCGTCAGTCCGTCCTCTCAAAATCATGAATTGTCTACATTCGTATTCTCTCCTAATTCTCTGGCGGACACGCACGAAACCTTCCCCTGTGTTCCTGCACCTCCACTGGCTGCCCGACCTCCAGATGGCTCCTTATTTCTCGATCAACTTTCTACTTCCATTCCCGAGTCTACAGTCTCGTCTCCCGCCTGCTCCGCTTGGCCCTCCTGGGTTGTTGCCTGCGAGAAGTGCGTCGTCTGTTGGCGCCAGTTCAGACCAGCAACCAGACTTGGTGCTCTGCCTTGTGGTCATGCCTTCCACGAGACGTGTATCAGACGCTGGCTGGACACGGGTGCCTTAGCTTGCCCCATTTGTAGATGGCCTGCCCATGCTCTCCATCTCCGTCAACTTGCCTCTCTTCTCGCAGCCATCCGCCCGACTTCTCCTGAAGCTAATCCTTCCTCAGATCACGCCTTTTGAGTGTAAACATTGCGCTTAGTTCAGCTGGACTGTCAAGGACATCCCTATGGCTAGGGACACTAATGTTAATATCGACAGGCATTTATCTCTTTGACAAATTTTAAGCAGTATTGACCGCGACGGATCTCTATTTATTTTGTATCTCTCGAACAATAAATTTATTTCCTATTCTCATTCCCTTAACTTTGCCAGAGTTCTATTTTCTCATTTTTCTAGCTCATTTCCCCTTCATCATGTAGTATAATTCTGTTTTACTGAGGTTAGGCCATGTATATTAATGTATTTGCATATAGGCGTACATATAATGTATGGCCAGACTAGTTTACAATGTTTTTAAAATAATGATAATTTTCACTTATCAGCAGTTTTTCTTCG